ATAGATGAATCTTCGCAAAATATATAAAAAATATTTTACATGAAAAAATTGACCAAAATACCCCCTAAAAGTTTCGATGGTATTTTGGTCAATTGTTTTTTGCGGTTAATTTTTTTTTATATTTTTTATTAGATGCACCTCAGTAAGATGTATATATCTTCCAAATTTCAGGTCATTCCGATTTGTAGAAAAAAAATGAAAAATAAAACACTATCGGACAATTGTGATCGCGCGATGAAATTTAGACAGTGATGAAGGTAGGAGAAATCACTATTCATTTTCTCCTATAGGCGTTGGGAAGACTTTTCTATATATATATTGAAAAAAGCCAGCGGGGCTTCAAACCTCCACATTATGGCAAAGGTCGGAAAGCTTTAGCCATTTAGACTTTTTGAATATCATTCAGATCTAGTACATATCATATATTTACTGGATCACCAAATTAGACCAAGAACCGGCACGATCTTGGGTGATTCCCAATCCAGATCAACGATTTTTTACTCACTTTTTAGATGTTTAGATATTAAATTGCGCCATCTTGTACAGTTGCATTTTATTGGTTCTTATATTGTCATCGGTTTATCTGTCTGTACATTAATGTACTTGCATAGTATGCTAAAATAAGTAGTTAATATGCTTAAATCTATTGACTAAACAAATAACACTAATCATAATAGAGATAGGCCCTGTTTGTACTACGTTTTAATACTCACACATATGGATACATGCCTGCAATGATTCTTCAGTTAATATCTATGAAGACTGAAGCTGACCTATATTATCCATCCATTGCATCATTCTTCTGTTGTATTCTCCCACTCAGCCTTGTGATAGTGAAACAGGAAAGGAATAGGTTCTTTTGGCCCCTCACATTGTCTTGTCTATGAACAATGACAGCAAGCAAGAACCTGTAGAACAGAGCTCAAATTAAATTTTATCAGCAAACAGAATGATTTCCTTTACCTGCCTCTCCAATTTTTTTTAATTAGAGATTTTGACCTTGAAATATGAGTTTCTGTCCTAACAATCAGACAAAAAAAACAGCTTGGGTGTGTGTGTATAACTAGTCTATTTACTGTTCACATTAGTCATTTTCCTGTTCCTGTTATTATCCTGCAGTGCAGGGAAATCAATTGGGTTGAGTTCTATGCTGGTAGGCCTAGTCCTTCTTGGGAGGGCAGCTTTTGTGTTTCCTCTGTCATTTATTTCCAACTTAACCAGAAAGACTCCAGAAGAGAAAATCACCTTCAGGCAGCAAGTAAGGATCCTTTCATTTTGTTCTATGCTTTCAAAAACTGGAACAGTGTAGTAGAATATCTGAAATTTTGGATTTCCAGGTTATCATATGGTGGGCCGGTCTGATGAGAGGTGCAGTCTCAATGGCTCTTGCTTATAATCAGGTAATGTTGAGGATTCTGGAGGAACCGACATAATTCTTCTTATACTTAGTATCAAATTTTGAAAAATGGCACAGAAATCTAGACTATCTAGTTCTCAAAATAAAAATTGGGAATTGGTTTATCAAAATGTTCTTTATGTATCGGGGATGCATATCTACTTTTGGGTCCCCCGAGGCATAAAACATCCATCTTAAAGAGAGATGTTAAGTGGTCATGCATCTGAAAAAGGATAAAAACCAATGGTCAATAAATTTTCTACAAAAAAATATATTTTCAGTTTTTAAATTTATTAATTTTTACATATTCATGTTCTTTATGTTAGAGATCATATATACCTAAAAGATTATGCCAAAAATCCATCTCAAAAGTGGAATTTGAAGAGGGGACAGATATGTAAATATGAGTCGTAGGACTCAGAGAAACTGTCCTTGTTTTATTTCCCTGAATACACATGATTCTGACATCCATAAAGCTTTCAAGTTTAAACAAGTGAGGATCTCTGGTCCTCTCACAAACACACAGAGAAAGAGAATGTTAGTGGTTTTACAATTCTTTATCTGAACCTGCCATCTCTGTTTTGCAGTTTACAAGAGTGGGCTACACTCAGCTTCCAGGCAATGCTGTCATGATCACATGCACCATTACTGTTGTTCTTTTTAGCACAGTGGTATGAAATCTTTAGCTTCATCTTTAGAATATTTAGTATTTATTTGTTCTTATCTGTTTCCCCAAAGCTATTCTGAAGAAAACTTTTCTTTGGACGGCATTCACAGTGATATTTTTTTTTTGACATATGCTCTCCACACAGAGAGAGAGAGAGAGAGAGAGAGCTTTTCAAGACATATAAAAGCCTTTGAATATTCTATGAAACACCACATAATTCTCTCTCTCTCTCTCTCTCTGTTCATGGGTATGAATTTTCACAGTTGAATTTTTTGAATGCAGTTGTTTGGCATGATGACACAACCCTTGATCAGGCTTATACTTCCTCACCACTCAAAACCTGCTCATGGGGTATCTTCAGAGCCATCAAGCCCTAAATCCTTCCTCGTCCCTTTCTTAGAGAATGGCTCTGGCGAAGGGCCAGACTCAGCCCGGAGTGTGGCCAGGCCATCGAGCCTCCGCATGCTTCTTAGGGCACCAACCCACACCGTGCATTACTATTGGCGGAAGTTCGATAATGCGTTTATGAGGCCTATGTTTGGAGGCAGGGGCTTCACCCCTTTTATACCCGGCTCCCCAACCGAAAGTAGCAACAATGTATGGTAAATTGTAGTGACATTTCATTAAGAAATGGAAAAGCCAGATATTTTCTAGAGAGAGAGAGAAATGAAGAAAAAGAACAAACAATCCACTTAGCAATTTCCGTCAAATTGATTGGCATTTGTGTGAAGCAGGTGTGTCGGGCTTGTGGCCTGGTATGAAAGGAGTTTTGGTAGTTTGGTGTGCATAAGGAGTGTATTTAATTCAAGGTTGTGTTTATTTCTTTCTTAGGTCTAGGTATTTGTATTTATTATTGTTTAATTATTTGTGTTTGGTCTTCTTTATATGTTTGAGCGATGGACTACTTTAATTGTTCAAAGGATCATTTATTTATGTATTTACCTCACATGAAGTGAGAAAATGGTGTTCAGCTTTTGGCTGAGACAAGGGTTTTGCTTCCACTCATTCAGGACCATTTGATTAATAATTGAGATTTGCCGATATGTGAATCTCACCGAGATATCAATGAGAATCCTTTTCTTTTATTAAGGGCTTCATTAGCAGGCCTGCATTTTCGTCAAGGGAGCCATCTCTCTCTCTTGCCATATTCATTTCAAGGCCCATAATTGGTCATCAATGAGAATCCTTTGAAGCCCGAGATTTTCATTGTTGATTTATTCTTATTCAGAGGAACCTTTCTATCTTTGTTGAACAATGACTATAATTTCTCATTAACTATTTGATAAAAACAGTCTATATCCATGATGGAGTCTCTTTCCACAAATGTTGTCTTTCTCCATAGTGTAGTCTTGAGCTGTCATGATTTCAAGATGCAATAATCATGTCAAATTCGTTATGGTTATACCTTTATTATAAGCTCTTTTGAGTTGTCCTTGTCTAAAAAATCTCTCTCTCTCTAGGAAAATTATTTCATGCGGGGCTAGACTGCATTTGAAACTAATGGTTCAAATGTTTTTTTAATATAATTATTATATCTAATTCTCAAATTTTATTTATTTTTTCATATTCATGATCTCCATGTTAGAGATTACATATCTTTAAAAATTTAGTCGAAAATCCATCTCAAAAGTGGATTTTTAAGAGGTGACTCATTTCTACATGGACTCATAGAAATGTGTCCCTCTCATTTCTACATGGACTCATAGAAATGTGTCCCTCTCTCTAATGAAAGGGAATTTCTTCTGTTTCCAGAGAATGACAAGTCTCAGAAACCAAAGCAACATAATTAATGCCTGAATCAATTATTTCACAAAAGTTCTCAATTCAATGGTTTGATGGAATAAAAAAAAAGCCATCTTTATATTTCTCGTCAAAATCACGGAAAACAAAGGCCAAATTATTCAACACAGCCCACCTCTTTCTGATGCAAAAGCTCCTCCAAAACTGCATATATCTGTTCTGACTCAGGGTGAAACCTATCCTCCATCTGGAATACATGGACACTCCCTTTCACCTCAATCCAACTGCAACCCACTTCCTTTCTCACACTTCTCTCTCTCATAGCCTTCCTCACTCTACCCATTTCCTCCCACTTCCCCTCCTGTGCATAAATATTCGATAACAAAGCATACCCAGCTGCATCTTCGGGCTCTAATTCAAGTAATTCCTTTGCGGCCACCGTCCCAACCTTAGTATTCCCATAGTTTCGACAAGCCCCCAAAAGCGTTCTCCAAATCAACCCTGAGGGTGAAATTGGCATTGCTCTGATCAATTCCATTGCTTCCTCAAGATACCCAAGTCGCCCAAGAAGATCAACCATACAAGCATAATGCTCCAGTCTTGGTTCCACGCCATGAACTTTACTCATGGCCTCAAAGTAATGGAATCCCTCACTTAGCAAGCCTCCATGGCTACAAGCCGAAAGCACCCCAATGAAGGTTACTGAATCGAGCTTAACACCAGTGGCTTGCATTCGCTCAAAAGCACGAACTGCCCCCTCACCTAAACCATGGTGTGCATACCTTGTTATAAGAGAATTCCAGGAGACTATATCAGGATCCTCAATCTCTTCGAAAGCCTTGACCGCATAGTCTATTCTTCCACATTTTGCATACATATTGATAAGAGAATTTTGTATTGGGACATTCGGTTTGAAGCCCAACTTGGTAATGCATGCAGCTATCTGATTTCCTTGGTCTAGAGATGCCACAGAGGCTGAAGCACTCAAAACACCGATAAACGTGATATGGTTAGGAGCTAAACCATCTCTAAGCATTTCTCGGAAAAGCATGAGAGAATCCTCTGAGAGCCCATTCTCTCCGTAGCCATTGATCATAGAATTCCACGAGACGATGTCCCTGTGAGTGAGAGAGGCAAAGACTGTCTCAGCAGATTCTAAGCAACCATGTAGTGCATACATGGTGACCAATGCATTGCCCACAAATGGATTTTGCTCATAACCCAGTTTCATCACGAGTGTATGGACATGTTGGCCTAGTTTTGGGTCATCTATATTACCACATGCACACAAGGCACCAGTTAGGGTAATGTGGTTGACCCATAAGCCCACTCGATGCATTTGAGAGAACAAGGCCGTAACCTCATGGTGGTTCTCAGCATGCAAATGCCCGGTGATTATAGCATTCCACGACACCCCATCAGGCTCATCAATCACACAGAATATCAAATCAGCTTCACTTAAGCGCTCACACTTTGCATACATAGTCATTAGTGCATTGGCAACAAATGTAACTGAACTGAACCCACTCTTAATGGCGAAGCAATGGATTTGGGTACCTGCTTCTAGGCTTTTTGGAGAATTGCAAGAACTCAGAATTGTTGAGATCAAGATATAATCGGGGTTGATTCTCTCTCTAAGCATGAGAGAGAAAAGACTGAGGGCCTCTGAGGAGTGACCCATTGACACATACTTCCCAACCATTTCTGTCCAGACGACTTCATTACGCTCCTTTATGCTTTCAAACACTCGACGAGCAAGACCCAACTTTCCCACCTTTGAATAAAAGTTGATAAGTGAATTCCGAACATATGAATTCAGCCCATGTCCATGCTTTATGGCATGAGCATGAATCTGCATACCCATTGATAGAGATGAACATGAACCAAGGAGGTTCATGAATGTGACATCATTGGGCATGAAGCCATCACGAAGCATTGATTTAAACAAACCCGATTCCTCAATGCATTCACCCATACATGCAGCCATGATGGTATTCCATGAAACCACATCTCTCTCATGCATCTTATTGAAAATTTTATACGCACACTCTTTCCTTTTGAATTTCACATACATGGCGATCAACCCACTCTCTATACATGTATCAGGGAGCAACAACGACTTAACAATGGATGCATGGACCTCCATGCCCTCCCTGACCATAGACCCAAGAGCACAGGCTCGAAGAGCTGCCGTGTAAGTGAACTGATTGGGCATGAACCCCTTCGAAACCATATCTCTAAAGCACATGAATGCATCCTTTTCTCTGCTACATCGAGCATAACCCATGATCATGGTGCTCCATGAGATGACATCGCTATGAGGCATCTCGTCAAACACCTTAATCGCACCATGGATAGAACCACATTTGACATACATGTTGATGAGGTTGTTTTGTATGAATATATCAGGAACAAATCCAGTTTGGGCCATGTGGGTGTGAACCATCGATCCATATTCCAATGATTTTGAGCGAATAGATTCGGATAAGAGGCGAGAGTAAGCATTGTGGGTTAATGGAGCTTTGGTTTGGGTTTGGGAGTGGGAAAAGAGGGTCTCTATAGCTTCTTTGAGCTGACCACTCGAGCAAAGATTGAAGATGGATTTGCTGAGATTATCAGAGTCGCCATTACTGAAATTGGGTGCGAGGTTTTCGGATTTTACATGGCTACGAGGAAGAGAAAAGAGAGTCCTACTCCAGGCTAGGCAATGAAGCTCTGTTCTGGTTATGAGATTCTTGCATTTGACTGAAAATATCATTATATACGTTCCCTGTTCTTCATTGTTTCGTACTAGAAGAGAAACGATATGGGTTACCCATAATTATTTTTCTGGTTTTTAAGGAGTGCAGAGGGAGAGACCTTCTAAGCTTTGTAAAGTCTGGTATGGTCTGATAATCTTCTGCAAAATTTTCTCTCTAACGAACTACAGAATGGCACATTACTCCGTTATCAAAAATTTATTTCATTATATATTGGAAAATTTACGGAAAATGAAGAAAAATGGGTAATTGAGGACAGACAAGAAAAACAAATTAAATCAAAGAAAAACATAATTTTATAGAAAATAAATAGAATAAAATTTAATATCCACTCATGATGTATTTGCCTATGAGTTCCATAGTTCAATTGAAAGATAAAATCCAAATCAAAACTAATATTCTCCATAAAAAATAAATTAAGGGAAAAGTTTATATAGAGTGAAGGCGCATTTAAATTTGAACCTACCCAAAAAAATTTCACTAAAAGAGGTTGTTTTGATACTCAAATATCTTCAAGTCGACCATCTCGACATCAAGATGGATGGACATGAGAAAAAAATAGATTTCAAGTTTTGAAAATACTGCATTTTATAACACATTTTTGCACTGTCAATTTTTTAGATTTTCAAGCTTTCATTGAATTATCGATCTACACTATTTTTTAATTTTTAAATTTTATAAAAAAATATATAAAAATATATTTTAAAGTTATTGCATATATTTTTAATACTAAAACCACATTTCTCGACACTAGAGAGATTTTTTGGACCGGCGACTCTTGAAAAGGTGGATCTGCCCACAGTTGCAAAAAGAACAATTGGCTGAATAAATGAGCCAAAAGATATTCTACTCCCTTGGTAGAAAACTGTCCATTTACTCCTTCAGATAAAATCCTATCAAGGATTAGTTTTAGGACCCTAAATTTTAGGGATATAACCTCTTGCTTATATATGTACCTCGATAAAAATATATTTCCTAATTGTAGCCATTAAACATTGAAAAAAATAATGTCTCAAGATCGAAAAGATAATCGTCCAATTTTTAGAATGTGAGATCTAAATGTTAGAAAACTCAAATTTCAATTTTTTGTTTTTCTGAGAATAATCATCTAGCAATCTTAAGGTGATTACCAAAATTTCATATTGATAAAACTCCCAACATACAACATAGGGACTAGAAGCAAACTATGCTCCCTCGGGAGTAAATAATACCCTCTCCATCTTTATTTTTATTAAATTTTACATACGAGATCCATTTATTTTTAGTACAAAGATATCACAAAACTACTATTGTTTGTTACATGTGGTATGTGGTTGTTGGGTATATTTCATTAACTAAGCCCAATGTCTAAAATAAAATTTCTTCAACGTTGTGACACATTTCAATATGTAAAATATCACATCCAATGGTTAAAAATAATTGTGACCTCATTGTAGAAGAATAAATGGTCTCATAGTATACAAACCCCCGGAGTCTTCAACTCTTAGGTGTATTTATGGTATAGAATTCGTAAAAATTTCCAATGTGAGAATTTAAGTAGAAGCTCCTATAGCTCCCTTATCTTTTATTCCTTTAAAATGTTAAAAGTTTATATAGCTATCATTCTCAAATTAGCCATCTTCTATAGGACAGGGCAAGTGCAAGTTTCAGACTCTCAACTTTGTGTGGAAAGAAGTCTCGCGAGACCACAACTTTGTTATAGTTCTTTTCCACACTCATTGCATTCCCCCACAGGATTACATTGTATATTTTTTCTCTAGGGTGAAAAAGCTAACGAAAATGATGTTTTTGTTATAGAATTTTGGGATGAATTTGGGGTACACTTCGGAAACACGTGATGCTTGTTTTTTAGGGGGGGGGGAGAAGACGGATTTAGAGGTTTTTAACACTTAGATTTGGCATCCAAAAATTAGATAGAATCTACTCTTTGTTCAATTTCAGGACTCAAGTGTACTTAGATTTGGCATCCAAAAATTAGATAGAATCTATACTTTATTCAATTTCAGGACTTGAGTGTTTCTAGGCACCGGTGCTTTCTTATTCTCTTTTTGAATATTGAAAGCTTGGTTCATCATCGTCAAAGCTTTTTTCAAACTAATTGGAATCGGCTACATAAATCCTGATCCGCCATGACATTAGAAACTCGGTTAGAGAAGCTATATCCTAATATTGGGATCCCAATAATACTCTCATACGATTATAAATAGGGGAGCAAATGTTTGATACACTCCTCATCAAATTAAAACATAGGCAAATATGCTGGAAATGAGAGAAAAACTTGCACAAATTGTTCAGTATGACACAGTAGTTTTTATTTTTTCCTTAAGTAGATTAGCTAGAATGCTCAAACGTATGTTCTAACGTTTGTGACGTGGCCCTTATGCCATAACTACCAAACCAAGAGCCTATTATTTCTGCTTTTTTTCTCGGAAAATGTTGGGTAAATGAACAATGTGACTCTTAATCATGAAAACTTTATGTTCTTCGATCAGGATAATGCAGCTGGGTACGATAAGAAGTGTGTGTACAAGAGACAAAGTGGAATTGGATATAGTTCATTAATTATTGAATTTGTTGCAACCATTCTGATGCTACAAGCCCGGGCAAGTCAGGAGCCAACTTGCAGAATCTCGAATCTTAAACTCGGGGATGGGTTTCATCTAGGAACTCAGCAAGACTTTGCCAAGACTCAGGCTATCCGAATCGGGGTCATTCAGAACTGGTAGAATGCTGGTTTTGAGTGTCACAAACTTGCCAAGTCTTTAAACAGTGGAAGCTTCAGGGAGCGTGAGCTCTGAAACTTAACGTGGTGCAATTTGACTTGTACAAGTGTTTGCCCTAATTCCTTGGTGGATAGGGCATGAGAGCATGTCTTGGGTTCCAACCGTAGCTTACCCAAGTAACAAAGAGAGGATCCGTGTTTCATTAATGTACAGTACAAAGAATAAGGATTTGGAACTCCTATCCTCACCAATAACCCTTACAAGAGCAGCTACCATCTCTAAAATGGTGGAAACGATTCCGATCTCGAATGGTTATCTCTCGCCTCACGAGTTTAGAGAGGAGCTCCATAGCACAATGGCAATCAGAGCATATCCTAAGGTTCTTCACAATCCTCAAAGGCACCAAGGGCTCTGTATTTATGAGCGAAAGGTGATCGCTAACTTCTCACTGTGCCGGTAAAGAGCTTCTTCCTTGTCCTCCTCGTCCATGTTCCTTAAAATCGAACCAGTGTCAGGAGAGTAACTTAGACCCTTAAGCCTCTCGACTAACTCATCCCAAGCTAAATATATGTCTTGAGCTTGCGGGTGTGACTTATCTCCAGCTGTGAATTCATGAACAGTGCCATTAACCTCTACTGAACTAACACCTGGGGTCTTGAGAACTCCTCGCATGCTCATTCTCTCTCTAACTTTTTCCACCTCAGCCCACTTACTGGAGGCTGCATATATATTTGACAAGAGAACGTAATTACCATCATGAAGTGGGTCGAGGTCAATGAGATGTTGAGCCACCCTCTCTGCTAGCTCGAAGTCCTTGTGAATTCTACAGGCATTGAGCAAAGCTGCCCAGACCACATTGTCGGGTTCGATAGGCATTGCTCTTATGAATTCTTGAGCCTCTTTAAGAAGCCCAGCTCTCCCGAAAAGATCAACCATGCAACCATAGTGCTCAATTCGAGGTCTGATCTTATATTTGAATTGCATTGATTCGAATAGCTCGGAGCCCCGAGCTACCAAGCCTTCATGGCTACAAGCATTCAGGACCCCAATAAATGTGATACAGTTTGGGGCTGTTCCCTCTATCTCCATCATGGAGAAGAGAGAGAGGGCATCATTGCCGTGGCCGTGCATCGCCAAGCCCCTTATCATAGCATTCCATGAGGCTACATCTCTATTAGTCATGCCATTGAACACTTCTCGAGCCCTCTTCAAATCGCCACACTTAGCGTACATGTCGACAAGTGAGGTGCTTAGAAATATGTCTAGCTTGACACAATTCCTCTTGATGTAGGAATGGACCCATTCCCCCAGAGCCAAGGCACCCAATTGGCCACAGGATGACAAAACACTGACTAGGGTCATCTCATCTGGTTCAACCCCTTTCGATTGCATTTCTCGAAACAATTCAAGAGCCTTAGAGGGCTTTTGATTTTGTGCATAACCCCCGATCATAGCATTCCACACCACAACATCTCTCTTAGGCATCTCATCAAAAACTTGGCGAGCTTCCCTTAGCCTACCAAACTTCGCATGCAAATTCATAACCGTGGTCAATAAAGAGAAAGATTTTGAGGAAAAACACACATCCAAGTAATCGAGTAACTTATTAGCCATCTCAATGTCAGCCGCTTCAACAGCTGCAGATAACACCGATAACATGGTGGCATTGTCTGGTCTACTACCGGTCTCTCTCATCTCTGCAAACAATGATAATGCACAATCAAAATGGCCATTTTTCTCATAACCAGCTATCATTGCATTCCAAGAAACTAAATTCCTTTGAGGCATCTCATCAAAAACTTTCCGAGCATTCTTAATATCACCCATTTTAGCATAGGCACTAAGCATGGTGTTCCAAGATGCAATGTCTCTTTCGGGCATTTCATCGAAAACGTTACGAGCAGTCTCTATGTCCCCTCGATTTGCAGAGCTCTTTACAATGAGATTCCAAGAAGTTGAATTTGGGTTTTGCGTTTTCTCAAACACCAACATTGCTGACTCAAAATCCCCGCATTTCAAATACATATCAATCAAAGAATTTTGCACAAAAACATCAGCTTGGTACCCAGTTTTTGCAGCAATGGAGTGAATTGCTCGGCCTATACTGATGTTTTGAAGACTATAGCAGGCCTTAAGAACATATGGGAATGTGAATTGGTCACCCCAGAAACCTCTCTCTAACACCAGAATATATAGAGAGAGAGCCTCTTTGAATAGCTGGTTTAAGATCCAGCCTTTGAGCATGGTGTTGCAGAGCACAAGGTCAGGTTCTTTGATGGTGTCAAAGACAATCATGGCATAGTCGATTGAACCAGAAGAAGCAAGGCCATTTATGAGTTTAGTTATAAGAATATTGTCCTGATCTAGAGTTCTGCGAAAAAGTTGAGCTTGAATCTCTTTGAGGTGGTGGAACTTTAATGGTTTATGAAGCAAGAGAGAGAAAGATTGTTGGTGTTTGGGTCTGTGGAGAAATTGGTTCTTCGTGAGTTCCAATGGAGGCTGTGCTACACTTGCCATTCCTGCACTCTGGCATAGCTCCTGCCCCTGCCCGTGCCCTTGCCCGTGCCCGTGCCCGGCCAATTTAGTGCGCGAGTGTGTTTCGTTTTACAGAGAGGGAGCGCGAAAAAAAGTCAAAGCCCATTGTATTCCCATTGACGAGTATACCGTGCTCCCGCGGGAGAATATTGTATTATTACTCACTCAGAGAGAAAACTAATTCGGGAATTTGTGACTTAACTCAGGCATTATGGGAAAAAGTTTATATAAGGATGCGACTTTATAATGTAGACCTACGGGTGCCCCTAAAAAATTCATCGAAAAGCGTTAATGTTGAAAAACCTTTTGATTAATCATCTTAGACTATAAAAAGAAAAAGGATTTAAAACCATCTCAACATCGAGATGTATCACTATGAAAAATAAAAAAATTTAAGTCTAAAAAATAGTGCATTTTACAACATATTATCTACATCCTTTACTTTCAAGATTTTCATATGTTTATAGATCTACTTGATTTTAACCATTTTTTAAAGTTAAAATTTTATAATTTGATATAAAAATAGATTTTGAGATAATCCTAAGAACATTTTACATCAAAATTATATACCATGATAAAATTTGAAGGTGCACATTACCTCTACACCTGCAGATGCGTCCGTATGCCAACTGCACCCTTGTGGTAATACGTAATACCATCGTTACTTACACAAAAAGAAAATACCACTACAACCCCTAGCCCCTTCTCAAACATATAAATTATATGCGACTTCACTTCTCAACTGTTGGATTTGAATCATCAGCTAGGATTGCTCATATCACAATGTCTCGTAAGAAAACTCTTTGATTTTTAATATTTTCTTACAAAATATTTTTGGCTAAACTTCGTGGGATCCCATCAATTTGCATCTAGTAATAAATAAAAAAAATATTTCTCATAAAAATAAATGAGCAAAATGCTCCTGAAGTTTCAAAGGTATTCTAGTAACTTTTTATCACAATAAATATTATTTTATTTTGTTATCATGTGCCACATCAGATGTATGGCTAGGACTCATATGTGCATTATGCGTCCTCTCTTAAAAATCTATTTGAGATGGATTTTGGTCCTAATTTTTTAGGAATATACGATTTCTAACGGAAAGATCATGAATGTGTAAAAATAAATAAAATTTAAAAACTAAAAATGATATTTTTGGAAGAAAAAATATAAACTATTGATTTTTGTCTATACGATCTCTATTTTGAGATGGATGTCCTATGCCTCGGGTGACGCAAATGTAGATATGAGTCCCGCGGGGCATAAAGAACTTCTCCTTGTTTAAGACACGGATAATGTGTTGTCCATACATCGGAGAGCTCAATGGCAAAGTGAACCTGTCGCATCTTTAGCTAGAGTGATTGGAAGGATTCTTGTGCAAATCCACATCCAAACTATCTATGTGTGTGTTTGTTCACGACCCGTGGGATTTCTTTCTACCTCCATGCAGCATTGCTCCATAAGGCTTTACTTTCTTACTAAGCTCCGTCAACGTCAGGCAAAGAAAAACTAGGCGGTTGATCATTCGGAAGGACCAGCTACTGATCTTTGCTTTCTTTGACTACGGAATCAACCATGGATCAATTCCTCTTTCATTTGGAAGTATTGAATAGACCTATAATTATGAGCTTCATGTTACTTCTTCTAAGAGACATGTCTGAGCTGGAGGCATCTCAATTGGATTGAACAGGATGACAGTTATTCATTCTGAACTTGTGGAATTGTGGATATCTATGATTTTATTTTACCATTTCATTTGATTCTTTTGTTGCTCAAGCCGGATGATAAAAAATTATCATGTCCGGTTCTTTCGGGGGATGGATCCATAAGAATTCACCTATCCCAATAACAAAGAAACCTGACTTGAATGATCCTGTATTAAGAGCTAAATTGGCTAAAAGGATGGGACATAATTATTACGGAAAACCCGCATGGCCTAATGATCTGTTTAGCGAAGAGATAGAGCATTAACTTCACTACCCGTGAATTTGAGATTAAAATGTAATATTTGCGTTTAAAACATATTAAGGAAAGAAGCACATGTGCACAAACCAAATTTACTTCTTTTGGGGACTCCTTTGTAAATTCACTCGAGTATATACTCCTAGTGCAACCTTTTAAGATCCGGTGTTGCATGCCTCTGATATAAGGTTGATCCGGTGTCGCATGCCTTAGCAAGAAGCTAGTCTAAAAAATCTTCAAGCATCTTCTAGCCACTGCACAGTTGGAGCTCACAATCCTCAAAAGGTATAGGGAAGCATCATGAGATGATGGGGAATTGCTAGAGTTTTGATGTTGTTTTGGGACTCCAAAAGAACGTGTAGCACTTCCCGTAATCAAATCGGGAAGTGCTAAAAGTTTTGAAAGTGCCGAATTCTTCCAAAAAATCAAATGTACTATGAAAGGAAGATCGCAAAGCCTTTAAGTGTATATGTGTGTGTGAGAGACAGAGAGGGGGGTCGCAGGCATATCCTCATCTTGAAAGTTGAGACCCATTTGTGTCTACTGCCTAGTTTGCATGTAAAAAATGAGAGTGGAGATCAATTTCCCCACCCCCTAACAAAAAAATGCTTTAGAATTTTCCTATAATTGTTCTAGATTTAATAAAAATCATAGAGATTAGTATTTTAACATAACGAAACATGTACAAAAAGAGAAGCAATTCATTTTAGAAACGATATAGTCGACTCCCAGTTATAGAAATTGTGACTTGCTGAATGAGATCCGGGTCAGCTTTTTAAACCGTAGTAGAGATGAACCAAGTTCTGATCCCATTGTGTCCTCTCTATGGTGGGTCCTTAGTGATAGTCATCTTGGCCATCCATCACTAGAAAGAACAATGGACATACGTTGCTTGTGTGTCTTTAGGTGTATGTATTTCGAGTATGCTATGCTCTTATAACAATGGATATACGCAATCAATCACATGAAGAACGAATCAAATTTGTCCCTCCCTCCCAAGTTGGTGAATCCAAACCGTCCGATATCAGTGGGTCCATTTGACCCCTGAAGCCATTATTAGTCGTGATGGTCATTTTTGTAACTCCGGATATTTTATAAAGTATATCAGTCTATCTCGAGAGCATAGTTTATTTTTACTCACTGATTCGGCAGGCTTACTCATAGGATTTTTTTCAATTTGAGACTTTGGAAATCATTTAAAAATTATTCGATGATTATTCTAAACAAAAATTGAAAGTTGAGTTTTTTATCACTTAGATCTCATGATCTAAAAATTGGATGATCTCTATTCAATCTTGAGATGTTTTTTTTAAGTATATATGGGGGGAAACTTTTCTATTGAGATTAATGGTTGAAGAGGTTACGTTACCAAAATTTAGGGTTCCAAAAGATAGGGAAAAGTTTCTATGCTTCTTCTACAACATAGAAGTTCTATCCTCCCCTATCATATAGCCATCCAATTTTGATCCAGAGAGCCACTCATCGTTTGATTTTAGATCCCACGTGTCAAAGTATTTTATTTTTATTTTTTTTAGACAAATTATATGAATATGAAATTTGGTACGAGCATCTTCTCATTGGGGCACACTTATAAAAAATATTAAATTTTTTTTTGATAAAATGTAATGATCAACATACCCTTTGAAACTTTCAAAGGTATATTGGTCATTTTATTTTATTGAAAATATTTTTTTATATTTGTCGTTAGTGCTAGTTTAATAGAAAAATAGATATTCAAAATTCGGTATCAAAATAATTTATAAAAAAAATTTAAAAATAAAATAGTGTAGATACACGACATTATGATTGGAGCAATCTTAGCCCTCTATTCTATGAGTAGAGAATTAGATAAAGGGAAGAGAGAAGTCGTATGCAGTAGATGAAACATGGAAAGCGTGCCCAATAGATATTTATAGGACAATTTACTTCCGCGGCAGCAGAATATCTTTTTGGCTTTCCCGACCTATTTTGTCATTTTATAAAACAAAGGATATTCACCTCCTCTTTTCACGCCCTGTCAGATTTTTTTTATTAATTTTCTTTCAGATAATAGGGTAAAGCGACATAGACTCGGGTTTTACCTGAAATTGATCGTCCTTTCCTTTTCCAATTGGATTCATGCGATTTTGAAACTTTGTTGAGATTCACAATTTCGATCTTCACAGCTGCATACAACGAAGCGTAATCAAACTAATTTTAGGGTTTTTTCTTGTAATTTTATGATGGATGATTCATATAACTTGCCATATCTGTTTATTCATTGCTGATATTTCGTGTTAGCTTCATGATATTTGGGCGGATAAGTTGCAGGGTTTAGCGTTTAGGTGCCTTCTATTTATGAGTTCATATGATCCATGCATTTTTTTCTTTTTCTTTTTTTAATTCTTTACTTTTTTTTGGAATCTGATGTTGCATATGATCATTTGATTCGGAGATACTATAAAGTATTTCAGGTTTTTTTTTTATGATTTTATGCGTACCCTTTTGTTAGTAGGTGATTATTTCCCTGGATCATTGCTTTTCTCTGTGAAATTTCATGGTGCCAAAGTAATTGTTAAATATTATTAACCAGAGTGTTATTGTTGTGATCTTAATTGGTTTGGGAATAATGAGCGTCTATTTTTTTTGTTTATATTCTTTATGTTTATAGTAGTTTTTATTCTGATGCAGTTTTTTACCTGAACTGCAACTATGGATGACCTATGAGGTTATAGCAAGTTGGTTTTTCTTTCATGAAGACATGGAGCTTAGAATTCCAAAACTAAGAATAAATTTGAGCTAGTGCTCAGGTGATTTGTGATGACACCTTTCTGTTTCCTGCTTGCTTTTTCTTTTATGGTTTTAATTGCTGTTCTTTCAATTTGAGGTTCTATGTGGTGGTTTCTTGTGAATTATAGGTGGTCGAGTAGGCACTGGTCTATGATCAAACTTCATGTTGTTTTTTAGTTATGAGAGTGTTATGCTAGCTTTGTTCTTTTGTCTTCACCTTCTTGTGTTTTCACAATGTTTACACAGCTCAAATTAAGTTGAGTTTAGATCAAAACTTTTGCTAATATTCTGGAATACGGCCCATATCTAAACATGTATTTTCTTTCATAAAATTTAGGGGCAATTAGGATAAAATCTTATCTTCTCTTGAATGCTTGTTTTCTGTTAAGTTTGCTAAATAAAATGAGTTTTTTGGGTAACATTTTTTGCTATCATCATTTGAATTTCAGCTGAACCTTGGTGAGTACAGCAAATTATAGCTGAAATTCAGACCAATTTTGTGTAAAAGAAACTATTTATCATTGATTGGCTTTGATGGCTGAAATCTTAGATGGAGATCTGACATATCAAACCATGTAAAGTTGCTCGAATTTTGCAAGATCATGTATAAAATCCCCAGAGAAATTTCTAGTGAATGTCTTACGATTCACATGCAATGTTAGGGGCTGGAGCTACCAATAGAATGAAGAAAGAAGAAGTAAAGGTTAGGAATCATAGTGAAATGTCTAACTGCTCTTTTCTTTATTATAACACCACTGATATTATTTCTTGTCCAAACTTCTGTTCCTCTCCAATTGGTTATGGTTTCTAGCAAACATGGTTTTCAACTTCAAGTTACTGAATTTTTCTTATAAATGCCTTGGGGTAAGCTGGAAGCGATTGGTTGCGCAGAGTAAGACACCTATGGGCATCTATGTTTGTTCATGCCTACATTAGGTTGTTTGGGTACCTGGAAATATATTGTTTGGGAATTATATTTCTGGCGTAATACATTACTTGTAAATAGATTGTTACTGTTTAGGTAGTATCTAGATGCAAGTTGGGAAATACATTGCTACTGTTTGGCTATGTCTGGAAGAAATCTGGGAAATGCATTACCAACATTTTAGCTAGGAAGTATTGCGTTAATTTTATCTATAGTAAGGTGGTATTTTTAAATACTTTTTTTCCTTTTTAGGATAAATAATTAATTAAAACTACTTAATTTTCTAATATGTGAGGTAGTATCAAGCATGGCCACTTGCGCCTCTCTCTCTCTCTCTCTATCTCTCTTATTTTTTGGGGTGGATCTGGTGAAAAAAGGACCCTTGAATTGTGGTTCCCTTCTGGTGGTATGGCTTGAGAGGAAAGCTAAGGAGGCGAAACAATGACCTTGTTTCTCTTTCTAGAAGCTGAAATAGCTTCTCCCTTTCCATCGAATCCCTTGTTTGTGTCCTTACTTTGATAGCCATTAATGGCCTCGCTCTCATTTAACCATCTATTGCCTTGATAAAAAAAGCTTTAACCATGAATTAGCAGCATCAAAAGACCACCAAAAATCAGAAAAAAATATACGAAAACATCTAAGCTTATGCACTGAAAATTGTACCAAAAAACCAATGTTTTAAAGAACGGTCCGCTTGGTGCCAAGGCAGTCTGGACCAAAAATCCGCATGCCTAGACCCAGGCGGCCCCACACGGGCAAATGTACTTGGGCGGGCGCCTAGGGCCGTAAGTCCTTTTTCATGTTTTTAAACCCCCCAAAGGGCAAAAGGGGCCATTTTGCCCCCCAAGGTTGTATAAAAACGTTATGGGGTTTATTTTTAACCCCCAAAGTCAATATATGAAAACTTCCAAAGTGAAAAAACTACAGGGCGCTCGAGGTTCTGGGCACCTGCCTAGGTGCTGGGCGCTGGGCCAGGCAGGCCGCCTAGCGTTTTTTGAAACATTGCAAAAAACCCTAGATACAATCACAAAAGTGCAAAAACAAACACCCAAAAGTCATGAGTAAGAGAGAGAGAAATAGATGGCCCATCACCTATCGGCTATGCTTCTAATCACAACCTCATTCACAACATTAGAGATCAACCTGTTCAAGAAAGCACCCCCTCCAGCCGTTCTCTCTCTAACAGATTTTGCACCAATCTCTCTCTAGAAAGTTTTGTACAAATCGCTCTCTAGAAGGCTTTGTACCACTATCTCTATGTCGAACACTAACCTGCCATCAGAAGCCAAGCCTTAGATTTTGCTTTTGAAGAAGAAACGAAACCTAAGTGAGAGAGGGTGGAAGGCTTACCAGCGAAGAGAGAGAAACAGCTGGGAAGGGAACTACATCCAAGAAAGAGAGTGGGGTTTTTAAACGAGCCTCAAAACATAGAAGTTGATTCAATATTTTATGGCGGGTCCGAGGCTTATATTACCCATCAAGCCCCGTAATAGATTTCGCAGCTCTCCAAGCGTGAAATGGATTTGACAATTTTCGGTGAAATCTAGGGTAGTGTGTTTTCATTTCCTGCCATCTTATGTGTACTCAAACACTGAAAATAGCATATTTCCTTGTAATCTATCCCCCTGTAATAGAAATACAGGTACCCAAACGGCTACATTTTTCTATTTGTGTCTTTGTTTGTAAATAGAGAGATTTGTATGAATGAATTAATTAAGAATCGATTGAATGCTAACACTGAGAGTTGACACATGATCTATATTTTATCGGAAACGATAATGCTAGAGCTAGTGATCTGGACATTTGAATTTTTTATTGAAAATATTTTTTGAATGTGCACTCTCTAGAAACATTGTAAGATATTAAAGCTTTTTTCTCCCACAGGTTGATGATAAACTTGTAAGCTATTCATAATTTCATACCATTCAGTATTAATGATATCAACAACGCCTATTGGGAGAATGGTAGCCATGGAGAGGCTTCTAACATCTGGAAATTTCTCGGAGCTATCTGCAGGTATCTCATCATTTTGTTGCCATTATTTCATTGTACATCAAAATACAAACACCCATTTTTATATAAGTTTATCATGCTCTGACTGACTGACTGAGAAAACTTTGGGGCGTTAGTTTTGCTATTTAATGAATTTTATGCGGCTGTTATTTATATTGTTGTTGTATGCTTGGCTCATGTTATGAGGATATCTTTTAGTGCACGACAACGCACCCTCTCTTTTGAGATGTGACTATAGAACGGCTACTGTTTCTTTTGTTGACATGTTTTGGCAGAGGAGGCCAGACTTGAAAAACTAGCTGCTAAGACCATACATAAGGAGATGAACGAGGCAGACGAGGCTAATTTGTTGGAGGAAGAGGGTAACTGCATTGTTCTTTTTATCCAATCCAGCTGTGGCTTTTCTTTCCCCATTGTCAATTTGTTTTCATGATCACAAGTAATGATTAACTGGGAACCTGTAAGGAAAAAAAAATTGACAACTAACTGCTAATATAGCAGAGGATAAGGGCTTGTGTTTCTCATGGAGTCCCTCCTTTCTCCTTATCCAAAGTATTTTACTTCTTGTCTTCTTCTTCGTTTACTCGATTGGGTGAAATGTCTACTGTTGTTGGTTAAGAAGATGGTGTTGCTTTCATCAAGAAAAGGTGTTCTTGCAACCATGCAAAAGAAGGATGTTCTCCTTTTCTGCATCATATTCTAGATATGTTTGGTCACAAGCTTATCTATGCTATCTATGTGTCAGAGAGTTGAGAGCTTGTATTAAGAGATTTTATTGTCAACCAAATGAAAAAAATATGTCCTCTTGTTATGCATAGAGGTTTTGCAGCTTATCAAGATGTTGGCTGTGATGTGGGTTTAGGTGAGCCATTTGGGTATTCAGGCTCTACAATGTCAAGAAGGCAGTTAGGGTCATTTTTTATGTTGGTCTTGTTTTTGTTCCATAGGTAGTTGAGATAGATATGTCCAACACATCATCAGGCTAATTGAATTGTTTGGTGATACCCAGAAGTGATTGTAGATCCTCAAGTTTTATCGGTTTTGGATGTCATTCATGTGTCACATTATGGTAATTATGGTGGCAAAATCTTAGCTACTTTAGTCATGCATTCATTGGATGGCAAATTTAGTGTCAGGTGGTATCTTCTTCATTTTTATCCTTAGACACATGGTTTTTGTGTTGTTATATACCCCTTTCTGTTATTCATGAATGGTTATGTATTAAAATTCAAAGAAAATGTCATGGCAATTCATCATTGTCAAAGCCTTTTTCCCAATTAATTGGGGAAAATGTAACGGCAACTATAATGTAAAATTTGGGTAGGCGTGTTCACTTGAAATGTGAACATTCATAAGATTCATTAGGGGCAAAATTTGGACTGTGCACCTAGGATATTCTTCCTCTGCTATTTTAGAATAAGGAAAAACAGTTTTTTTTTCTCCTGGCTATTGCAAGTGGCTACTATTTGGTTGTGTTGTCAGTCTTCCAAAAGTGAAGTCACTTAACAAGTTGCGGTGCTAATTCTGAACAAGTGAGGAAGCTATTAGTACAAATCTTGGTTAGTGCTCCATTTAAATTGACTCTAATGATCGAATCTCCCTTTATCACTTCTTTTATAAATTGAGAACAAAAATGTCATAAGATCTATGTAACACTGGTTTTAATATATTTATGGTAATGCCGTTGGTTTTGAAGATCACCTGTTGAAATGAGGAAACTTGTCCATAAATTTTTCTGTTCCATAAATATAAAAAAACTGATATTTTTCTTTGTTCTGTGACTCGGGCTTGGACCTAGATACATGCTGAAATACATCTGATTGCTCATCTTTTGGATGAAAAACCTGTTCCACAGGGCACTGTTGACTAGAGAACCCAAGGGGATTTCTGTTTTTGTTTCTGGGTATTGTTTGTTGATTATTTTGTTCCTCTTTTCTGTTGCAGTTGTATATAAATGTTTATGAGTTGCTTTCTTCATTACAATTTGAAGTCAGTGTTTCTACTTATAAGGTTGGGGCAGTTCTTCAAGCTCTTGATGAATGTTATGAAGTTCATATTTATGAATATGGCTGTTATGGATCCTTCATATTTTATTGAATTACTGGAAAAGACTCCTATGTGTCACAAAGTACTACAATTCAAATGTAATTATTTTCTTATCTTATTTCCTTTTGCAGATATGCATGTCTTTGACTGCAAACCAATGACCGATCCTTTGCATTTGGTAATTCTCAGAATATTTTTGCATAGTTTTGTGACAATATTTTTTTAAACTGCTGGTCGGTTGTGTTCTCGTTTCTTTTTTCTGCTGTTTGCATAAGGTCAAAGAAAGAATTGAATAAAAAAAAAAATCCATAAAAGTTTCTATTTCTCCTCCGTAGAGACTAAATTTAATGTAGATTTTAGATATATACAACAGAACTATAGAAAATTTGGTTATAAACAGTTAAACACTGAATTTGCCTCCACAATATATCATGTGCGGAAATCATAGCAGATATTGAAGCTAAAAGAAAGATACACAATAAACACTGCCATGGAAATGGGCTTGGGGTTTCGGGGCTAATGTCTCAACATAATGTCCCACCTTCCATTGCCATTTTTAAAATATTAAAAAAAAAATTGAAAAAAAAGGAAAGAGACACTGATGCAAGGATACAGCTATGGACATGGCTATGCTGTCAACTCTTTGAGATTTTTCATATATATATATATAAAGCATCCAACACCGTTTTGAACTGTTTGTGCATCAGAGATAAACACTGAATTTAGCTGCATAGGAATATACCATGTGCAGAATTTCATGCCTATTTAGTATTGGGCAAGCTTCTATGCTTCCCCTACAGCATAAAACTTATATACTTCCCCTTATCCAACTGTCCATTCTGAATGGAGGGCTAAGATTGCCCCAATCACAATGTGACGTCTCTACACTATTTTATTATTAATTTTTTTTCTATAAACTATTTTGGCATCAAATTTTGGACGTCCAATCCTCTATCAAACTTGCACTAGCGAAAAATAAAAAAAAAATATTTCCAATAAAATAAAATGACCAAAATACCCCTGAAAGTTTCAAGGCATATTTTGGTCATTATATTTTATCAGAAAATTATTTTTAATATTTTTTATAGGTGCACCCCAATGAGAAGATGGCACGTACCAAATTTGATATTCATATAATTTGTATAAAAAAACTAAAAATAAAATACTTTGAGACGTCGGATCTAAGATCAAATGGTGAGTGGCTCTCTTGATCAAAATTGGATGGCTGGATGGTAGGGGAAGAATAGATCTTCTATGCTGTAGGGGAAGTATAGAAACCTTTCCCTTTAGTATTGTTTAGATTAGGTACCCGACCAAGGGCTTCCTTTTAGCTTTACTAGCTCCATTGAACCACATTTTACATCCTAATTTGAGAAGTCTGGCATGTTAGTTGTGTATAATATGCGAACACGTGCTCATTCATGCATATGCACACCTATGATTGATTTCTACTGGCTATGTTACTAAATATATTGTTTTTTATGTTTGGGATTGTTTTTTATCAAGGTGTGTTGCAATGCATGTAAAAAACCAATCAAATCCAGCCAATATGCAGCACATGCAGGTTCGGATCCCTCCTTCCCCCTAGAGATATTATTATTATTATTATTTTTTCAATAATGAATATCAATGAAATCTATTGAAGAATTATGTTCCTGAAATTTAAGATGAATATTGAGGAATTAGCCAAAAATTGATTATTTCCTTACCTGGAGTGTTAAATTTTCATTTGATATAAAATTTTTTCATACAAATAATGTGGAAAGTACAATGATTATATGGTCTTTTCAGTGCCAGCAAAATATTTGATAGACTCAAATGCCTCTCTCCCTAAGTAAGCTGGGTGATAAGTCAAATATTACCTTAAAAAATAGAACAAAAAAAAGGACTAAAACTGGGTGATAAGAGATTAGGTTGACCTTTTTTGGATCATGACATGCTTTGTCATGGTCATGACTCATAACAACTCAAAACTCGCATATAGACCCCACTCGAAGACCATTAAGGAGTCACCCTCATTGATACCAGGTCTGTCAAATGCTCTTGCATCAGTCCAAAATCCCACTACTTGCGCATTGGCTTCTTTCTAAGAGAAAGCTTCCGCTCCAGACACGAGACCAAAGAATCCCACCACATCCGCATTGGCTTCTGTCTAAGAGGAAGATTTCCATTAGATCAAATGTCCGACACCAGACCAAAGAGTCTCATGTAGCATCTTTTGTCTTGCATTGCTCATCTTTGGAGGCCAGGCCATGGGTTGCCCATTGAGCTATCAATGAAATTAAGCTTGAACACTCTACTGAAGGTTTGGTCCTCGTACAGGTACTGCTCATAACATTGAAGCATAACCCAGCCATGTCTAGTTTCTGGATAATGTAATTCTTGGCCTCCCTATTGCCCCTACAATCTTGCATAGTTTCTGGATAATGTAAAGCTGCGATAAATGAGCCTGGGACCCCTTAATCTTGGCCTTCTAGCTGGAGACTTATCTTCATGGGTTGCTATTTCTTACACTGAACAACCATGTCATTGCTTTAGTCGCTAAAATTTATTTAATCAAGCTTTCCAGAGTTCATTTCACAAGTTCCTATTGGCTCTTCTGAACTAAGATGCTTTAGTACCATTGCAGACCTCAATCCTAACTTTTGTCTTCTTGCTGAATGTTCCGATGAACTGCTAGTTTCTTCTTGAAGTCTCCTAATCCCCATGACTGAATACATCATTTTCTCTTTCATTATTTATTGTGATTGTTAGTGTCACTAAATTCGTGTATGACAAATGCTTATATGAGTGCCTCTTATGTGGCTCTCTTCTTTCTCATACTTGTTTTGACCTTTATGTTGAGGGAGCCAAATTGTGGAATCCTGTTGACCTTCTTTCATGTTTACAGAACGCTGTAAGTCTCTAAATTCTGCAGAAGATACGGGTCTAGAGCTTGATGGTGGTGCTGGGCACAAGAAACCTCCACGGAAAGGCCGAAAAAAGATCCAAACAGCTCATGATAGTATCCTTACAAAGTTTACTTTTGTAGGTGTTCAATTGAATGATATGGTGCATGTTACTTTATGGTTATGTGCCTATCTCTTATTTAGTTATCTATTATCACAAGTTCATGGCTATTCATATGTTAGTTTAATGCAGTGTTTAAAAATTTGGTGCCGGATCGGTTATCGTCCAACCTATCCCAGATCCTGGGAAAAAATGGGATTCGGCGAGTTTTTTGTACAGAATCGCTGTGTTGACATCACGACACGGCGATTATGTACAATAAATCACGATTATGGCGTAATAACTCGGACACATCACTGCTTCGATGGTGAAAATTGGATGTCACCACGGTCTAAATGGGATATGAAAAAATATGGACCCATCAAACCACTTCGCCCACGTGTTCACACCCCAACTACAAGTCAAACAACCACACGGTGGTGCTTGCTACTTCATCACACGCTGGTACGATCCGAAGCAATTGAATTACTTTTATAATGCTCTGCACCCCCACAATTTTTCAATGTGGGACAATGTTGTTTGGGCGTCATGCATTTAGACGACAACTGTTTAGGGTGCCAAGAGCGTCGACACATTTATATGACCATGCATTTATACAACCCATTTATTAAAAGTTTTAATTTAAAACCTTCCTCAAATGACCATGCATTATATGCATGTTTCCAACTTTAAGGAAGGTTTTAAAATACTATTTAAGGCACCATGCATTTATACGACTCATGTTTAAAACCTTATTATTGGTGCATATTCAATAGTATTTTAAAACCTTCCTTATATGCATTCAATAGTATTCTAATAATTTGTTCATCATGTTTATTATAATATTATACCTAATAATCATATATTGATAACCAAATATTGCATTTTATTTCTTAACTTGTTTGCATTATAAATTATGTAATGTATTATTTTTCTTATAGTTGTAAATAAGATTTTTTTTAAAACCAACAATTTCAATTTCAGTATCTGATATTATAGTTAGTTAGGTTGTGATAATTTTGGATGAGTAAAGCGAATTAATAAATGTTTGATACTTTGATGTGATACTAATTTCACTTTATATGAGAAATTATTATTTTTAATCTTCTTAGCTAGAAGTGTTTTCTAGCATTTTAAAATTATTTTGATGCAATATTATAATTAATAATTATACAGACATCCAGACAAGAAAACAACCTCTCAGTATTCACCTATTTTTACAAACTAATGAAGGTACATAATGCACCACTCCTAATTTCTTTTAGAAACTAAAAGAACACTATTTTTAGAGATTTATAGTAATTTTTTGAAAAACTTTTGGGGCAAAAATTGCTGATTCAGCCGATTCTCCGAACCGATCTATCGATTCGACACGAGTATGGGTGTAACCGATTTGGTTCATCGATTCGCTTTTTTAAACATTGGTTTAATGTAATAACTGTGAAGGTAGCGTCACCTATGGCTTCCATTAAAGAACCAATGAACATGGAGATGGGTTTGTTGATGGGATTTAGAATGAGAACCTACCTTTGCTCTTCCTTGAATCAGCATATTAGCATGTATGTTAGAGGTTATGAGTGTCCATGGAAATGATAGGATGGAGAGTGAGTGGGTCCCTCTAGAACAACATATAATGTATAAATTTATAGAGTGGATCCCTCTATAAATTATGTAATGTAATATTTTTTCTTATAGTTGTAAATAAGATTTTTTTAAATTAGATGATATTATAATACATTTTAGATTCGTTTTTATTTGTTTATTAAATAATTATAAAATATAAACCAAGAATTTCAATTTTAGTATCTGATATTATAGTTAGTTAGGTTGTGATAATTTTGGATGAGTAAAGCGAATTAATAAATGTTTGATACTTTGATGTGATGCTAATTTCACTTTATATGAGAAATTATTATTTTTAAGCTTCTAATATAGAAGTGTTTCCTAATATTTTTAAATTACTTTGATGCAATGTTATAATACTATATTATAATTAATAATTATACTGACATCCAGACAGGAAAACGTCTCAGTATTCGCCAATTTTTACAAAATAATAAAAGTACATAATGCAGCACTCCTAATTTCTTTTAGAAACTAAAAGAACACTATTTTTAGATATTTGTAGAGATTTTTTGAAAAACTTTTGGGACAAGAATTGTCTATTCGGCTGATTCTCCGAACCAATCCACCTATCCGATGCGGGTATGGGTGTGACCGATTCGGGTCACGGATCCGCTTTTTTAAACATTGGTTTAATGTAAAAATTGTGAAGGAAGCTTCACCTATGGCTTCCATTAAAGAACCAATGAACATGGAGATGGGTTTGTTGATTAGATTTAGAATGAGAACCTACCTTTGCCCTTCTTTGAATAAGCATATTAGCAGGTTTTTTAGAGGTTATGAGTGTCCATGGAAATGATAGGATCGAGAGTGAGTGGGTCCCTATAGAACAACATATGTCCCAAGTGGTCATTCCACAATATCACCGTATCATTTTCTTGTATTATGTTCCTTTTCTTTTGTTCATAGTTCTTAAGATTATAGTGTACTTCCCCTTTAAAAACTGGTTGTCGCTTATGGGCTAAGTGATTTGGTTGTCTGATGCCGTGACTTGATTTGTTATTTTAACTTGGATGTGGTGTTTGGTGAGTTGGCCGACTCAACCTGTAGATGTGCCTCCCCTTCAAAATCTATCTTAAAGATGGATCTCGGATCCAAAATTTTGGGATTTGTTAATCTGAACTATAATGTTGATTATAATTTGGAATGTTTTCCTCTGGAAAAATAAAAATTGCATTTTATGAATATTTGTTTTCCACCATCCATTTTGGCTATAGTAGTAAGTACTTTTTTTGACGTTCATCTTAGAGATGGACGTGTGATACATGAGGAGATGCACGTATTTTGGTGAGTTGGCTGACTCACCAAAATCATGTCCTTGTAACTTATGTGAGATATCCTTTTATTGCAACTTTCATATTTGGATTAATGGATCACATTACGTCTTCTTTGATTCAAATTTATAATTCTGTGCAAATCCCATTTATTTTGTGTATGTAATCTGGAACATTTTCTGATGCTCCTGTGGAATTTTACTGTTATTTCTTGATGCTTTTTCTTTTAAAAGATTATTTATTTTGTTGATTCACAATTTCAAATGCTTGTGTTCTTCATTTGCTGATGCTGCAATAGTTGAAAATAATTCTTTATGGGCACTTACCTGTATGGTTTTTATTATTTTCATTTCCAACTTTGGACTTATTCTCCAAGCCCATGGAAGAATGCTGTTATCGTAAATCCTGAACATCTACCAGATCCCGCGACAGCGAATGGGGAGCAGGAAAGATCCGAGTCCTTGGATGGAGATGATACTGCTGCTTCAGAATCTGCAAATATGGATGACCACACTGGCATGGCTTCTTCACTTTCAAGAGAAGTAAAAAGTAATTCCAGAAACCAGTGCTCAGGTTTACTAGTCATGGTTCTGCTCTGAATATTTTATCATTGCTCCGAGTTGTCATATGATCCTGTGGAGAATGACCACTTTTCTAGTTGTCTTTCTGTTTTTAGTGATACTTGTATCTGTGTTCATTTTTCTATGTTTAGGAATTTCAAGTTCAATGGATGGGCCGTTAGTAATTGATGGTTCTGGAGTTAGTCCTGGAAGTGGGATTAACTCTGGGGGTGTGATGTCTCCTTCAAAACGCGCTAAGTTGTATGGTCACTACACTTTTGTTTGTTTACTACAGTTTTGTGATGTCCAATTGAAATATTGGTTTGATATGCTTGACAACATTCCATATTGGTCTTTATTAATTGTTGCTAAGAAAGTGAGTTGTAGTCTTTTGCATAAGTTATCTTAAGTATATCATTATGAAAGCGGCTATGTTTCAATGTGTGCCAGGATGCCAGCTGAGTGCATGACCACATCAGATGGTCAGGAAACAAGGTGTGGTGTGGTAACAGAAACAGGAACTTGCTGTCAAGGTTCACTCACATGTAAAACTCTTATTGCATTTTACTAACATTATTGTTGTATTGCGTCCTTTCTAAGTACATGGGCCACTTATGCCATAATTTTAAACATGTTTAGTCTGTGGTTTATTAAATGCTCTGTTTCTATGAGTGCTACCACTCGTACATTGTGATTTGACTCTCACCAAATGTCTGTATTCAGGTAGGGTGCACTCAGAGCCTTCAAAGCGGTCTGTTGCAGGAAGGCAGCAGCCATACGACGTTATGACGGGACGTCAGAAGCCTTTACCTCTTCATGTTCATGACTCGGCAGCGAAAGATGATATTTGCGGTGAGTCATATATCTTACTTGCAATTTCTTTCTTATACGTGTGCTAACACCAGTTAATGATGGGACATGTATTATCTGTTGTGTATGTGCATATATATGGCATGCATTTGCTTGTTCGCCATGGACTCAATGAGCTGTTTATAAATTGCCAAGTTTTTTTTACGTTGCAGTAAGACAGTTTTCGCCAAGAAAACTTGGAATGAGCATTCTCAATTTTTCATCTTTTTCCCAACTTTTGGCATAGTATTCCTATAGGATAGCAAGGCTTTCAGGGTTTGTTTTGCAGATCCTTTCCCCAGATTTATCCCTAGCATTTCAAGTTGACTGAATTCTGAACATGACTTTGTCATTGACCTGTGTAATAGTTTCTGTTACGAAATGGTTATCAGTGACTAGTATAGATGCATTGTAATGTTTTACCCATGCTGATCAAGAAGTTATTGACGTGCTAATTTCAGTATTTTGTTATTTGTTTAAACTTTGCAAATAGTTATTACAATGTTCTTATCTTGTCTTGCAAACAGCTTCCGAGATTCCAGTTCCCCTTGCAACCAAAATGTATCCCCGACAAAGAAGTTATCGACTAAGGGCAGCACTTGGCCATCTTTACCGTGAGGCATTGGCGAAAGAGCAGCAGCACAATGACCCTCAGAGCCCGAAACAACCCCTAGAAAATTCTATGATATCTTCACAGGTATTGTCACCCAACAATATGTCTCATGAGGCACGGAAGGAAGCCATAAATCAAATGAAGGTATGTGGTACTCATTGCTTCTGTTTTCTTTTTATGCTTATGGTCTCTTTCTTTTTTTTCTTTGAACTTGTATTGTTTCAAGGTTTAATTCCCTGCTAACATTTAAAAAATTTGGATGAATGAGTAGATTGCTAGATTTTTTAGTTATATTTTGTGTCATGGCCTACACACACTCAATATTTGATACGTTGACAGATATTATGAAAGCCTGTAAAAAATCCAATGAAAAGCTGGCTTTGAAAATAAATATGGAAAAAGTCTACAAAGAGACCATTTACTTCTATTAAAAGAAGGGCACAATCATACTTGTCTGTCGGATTTTTTCGGTTGGTTGTGAGTGTGTCGTACATTAGGCACAAAGTTCTAAATAAAATATTTGAATTTCGTGATGCACTCCAAGCCGTCCAATTTGACATCTGATGGCTATTAGTAATTGTGACCTCCTTGTATCATAGATAAATAATCTCATAGCATACAATCCCATAAAATATTGCTAGGAGTTCAAGTTTTAGGAGGAGGTTTTGATGTGTCCGGTTTCTGAATTGAAGTTTGGCTCCAGTGTCTCCCTTAAAACAGCTTTGCAAATTTATTTTCTCTTTATGTTCTTTTTTAATTTTGATAAAAGTAATTCCAGTACATAAACAATAAATGTGTTTGAATTGGTTCAGTTGCCCTCCTACAGATTGTGTTTTTTTCCCTTTTGGAAAAAGAACGATGATATGCACTGCATTGAAGGGCTAATTTACGTACTTTACCTTACAGTCTCCATTTGATTCTGGATAACGGGTCTTTTGGTCCATATGAATCTCTTGAAGCAATACTAACATGCATATTACTGTACTATCCTTTCAAAGGCTAGCAAACCATATTTTTCCCAGTTCTCTTGTTCAGCTTGTGAGCAAAAAGGTTTGTTTGGTAACATCTACGTGTTGCCAGATTTCATTAGACCAGAAAATTCTCATCATTTTCTGATAATGCAAAATGTTTTCTGATAATGCAAAATGTGTTGCCACATTCGATATCATTAGACCAGAAAATTCTCATGATTTTCTGATAATGCAAAATTTATTAACCAGTGTCTTTGTAGTGGGGTTGACTGAAGGTGTTGTTGAACCCATCAGTAACACTCAGAACTCTTATCCTTGCACATGGTGAAGCTGACTGAAGTTGATCATGCACATACTTAGAGACTGAAAGCCTTCCAGAATCTCTTATTATATAGCATCTTAGTTTTATACACAAATCTCTCTCTCTCTCTCTCTCTCTCTCTCTCTCTCATATGGAGATACGAGTTTCTCACTATGTACATACTCCTTTTCTTTTTGGATTTTGTGAAGCAGAATGATCTATGTGCATTCCCTGTCACGAGGAAACCCGACCAACTACTGGCACAAAGTTCAGAACTATGCTTGGGGCTATCAGGAGGATATTCTTCAGTTATGGGCGCGTTCCCTGGTCAGCTCCAAGATAATAATAATGATTTTGCTCGTCCTGCAATGTCTGTAGATGCCAACCCCATGGGAATTATGAGAACACGATACATTTCAACCCCTTACTCTTTTCCTGGCAACTCAGGTATCAAATTTCTCTCTCCATGTATTATCTCTAAAAGAAGATCCATGTATTTATTGCCAGGTCATAATTATATTCACATCTTGGGCATCTTTAAATGTGCAGCATATCCCTTGTCGTCTGTCGCCTCATGGGTAAATTCCTTTATTATGTTGCCATGGTTGAATGGACCGAAAAAAAAAATCAATGTGTTTTTCTCTGGAAATCTTCAATGTTCATTTCTTATTGATTGATATCTACTATTATCATGGATAAGTAAATACGAAAATGGTTTTAGGGTCTATTATTGGCTCATTATGGACCAATTAGTCACTGAGTAGTGACTGATTCTTGATATTTATGCGCAGAAACCAGTTTCATCCTTTTATAACATTCAGATTGTTTTTTGATATCTAATTAAAGGGAGAACGTTCTACATTGCCTTGTGACATTATCAAAGTTATAAAACTATCAGTTTAATAATCATTCATCTTGAATTTATATTAGAGCAAAAGCTATGACGAATGGATTTCATATGTTACAAAAAGAAAAATTGAAAAATGTTATTCAAGATACGCTTTTGAATCGATATCTGAATATTTGCAGGTGCAGCAATCACAAATATGCAGCAGCCAAATGGGATTGTTCCTGTGATATAATTTCCAACTCAATGGAGAGGTAATTTTCCTACTCCATTTGTTATTTTTTATATTTTTCTGAATTTCATGTATGTATTATAGTTGTTCTCCGCACATTCTCCATGATGATATGGAAGAAATTTACTGAGAACAGTAATTTGGTTGGTGCATGAACTGATCTATATTCATGAAATAAAAGGGTGTGAGTGCAGTTTGTGCATATGTGCGTTTCCTGAACGAAATGCTTTAAAATCAATTCGCTTTTCAAATTATAAATGTTGACCAATTTTTCTAACTTTCTGTTGGCCAATGTGCTTGACTACAGATGTCTTACATGTTCCTCTTTCTTAGTAATACATATTTGTGTTTTTGTATACATTTCTGTATTGGGGGTAACCGCAAATTCATTTTTAGTTATGTATATTTCTTCAGGAAAAAGGAAAGGAAATCAACTATAATATGCTCAATCTTTGCAGTAGTCTGTTATTTATGAAAAGGGTGTACCTCAATATCGGAATGTTCTAAAATTTCCTATACCTATACCCGAAAATATTAGATATTGGGTTTTCCACAGGAACCTCCATTGAGTTTATATGAAGTGACGTAAATTTTGGAGAACCTTTCTTCACATATTTGATGATGGTTTCTAACTCCTAAATTATAGGGTTTAAGAAATACTACACAATGAAGCAATTCAAGTTTTTCCTGTCATTTGTATGGTTCCAATTGGAAACTTGCGGTTAGGCGGGTTTAGAGGAATATATTTAGGGCGTGGTTTGTATAAGACTGAGGCTGTAGATAATTAAAGTAAGGCGTACCTTCAATGGTGTCGAAAGGTATTGTTTCAGTACTGAAAATCTTTTTGATGTTCTAAAAATTGATTTCCATCTCTAATTATAAATTTAAAGCTTAAAAATAATGTAGATCAAGCACATATAAGAATCCTAAAAAATCTTGAAATTTGATGGTCTAGAAAATGCATTACAAGATGCACTTTCTGTAAGGCTTGAAATCCATTTTTTCTCATGTCCATACATCTTGAAGTCGATAGTATCAATTTGAAGATTTGTTAATACCAAAAGAACATCTTCTAGTGAATTTTGGAGGTGTGCCTTAAGTGATTGTTTAGGGCCTCGTCTGTATATAAACTTTTTCCATGTCTCTATGAATATTTAGTAAGATATTTCAGTTTAGCAAGATGGTTTCAGTCCCCGACGATGCGAGGTCTGGGTGTAATTTCCTGTCTACATGCGTCACCACATTTGAGTTATTTCTGCATTAAGAGCTAACGATTAACTAATTGAAAAGTTTGAATGAAGTATTAGTCAAATCCGATCCCTATCGAAAAGCCCTTCTTTTAGATGGATTTAGGATCCAACTTAGTCTAGATGTATTCGGCATTAGATTCATATTTTTGTAGTTCAAAAAATAGTTTGTTCAGATGATCTTTGAAGAAAATAAAGATGAAGTTCAAAATTGTATATTCTTGAGGTTCAGTTCTTTTTTTTTTTTGCCTAAATTCTTAATTGTTGTGTTTTATATTTGTCTTGTAAAAAGGAAATCATATTTTAAAAAAATGGTGTCAGCTGACGCACTAAAACCGGGTCCATTTACTATTATTAAGGTGTGTTTGGTGTGCGTGAAAAACTTCTTGACTAGGTATGGGAATTTTTCCACATCAATGGGTTCTTTCTCATTTTTTCATATCAATTGGCTGAAACTACTTTCACGCCTAGTGACAGTTTTTTCACGTGAAACTACTTTCACAGATGTATACGTGTGCCAAAGGTGTACAAAGAATTGCATGCTGATCTAGTTGGAAAGTAATTGGGCGCTGTCCCTCTCAATCGAGAGCAGATTGGAGTTCTACATGTAATGTGCAATACGAACCCTACTAGCCAACAGAGCAGACAGTTCAGGCTTGTCTTTTGTTTTTTTCAGGCTTGATTGTTATACCGGTTCCTCTCAATTTCGAATTTGTCCAAGGGTTTCATCAAATACCAAATACATAAAATGCCGACATTTGTTAATAATGGAAGTTTCTTTAGTTTTGTTGAACTTATAAAATTAAGGAAATTGACTTAGAATTGGCATTTCATTATCAGAATTTGAATAGGCCAAAAGATATTATACTCTTGCAGGAGTATACTATCTATTATTCCCACGGGCAGAATCCTATCTAGGATTAATTTTAAGATCCTGGGGATGTGACCCTTTCAACCCCTAGATTAACCTCACGAAAAAAAACTAGTTGCATGCTCTTTATACCAAATATTTATGTCTCAAGAAAGAAACTTTTCAATTTTTAGAGGGTGGAATCGAAGTGTTAGAAAACTCGAAAGTCTTTTTATTTTTTTATTTTTATAATAATGATCTTGTGATTCTTAGAGGTTTCAAAATTGAAGATTGAAAAAATCCACCCAAGTAGGTCTTTTGGCCGAGGGAGTGGATGAATACTAAGTGTGCTATCTCTTTAAAATTAGTCAATGTGTATTTTATAGTCTACATTGAGTTTCACTTTTAATTTTGTGGTATTGTATTTTAATTTTGGGTTGATTGGTACTCTTACATATGCATATGGGGTATTTCTTTAATGCATTTAACATTTTAGCAAAGCAAACGTGATACCATTATTTTACATTTTGGTAATTTTTTGTTTAGGGGTATTTTAATAATTAATTAAGGGTAAAATAAAAAATTTTGATAATAAAACTGTAGTAGATAATGATATCATTCGCATACATTATAAATTACCATTATTTTTCTTTTATAAAAGTTTATATTCTAACCCTCTTCATGACCGAAAATGCCTGTACTCTAAAATTTTTTATCAGAAAGCAAGGATAATAAATGTCCAAAATGTTTAGTGCATTAAGTAAATAAATACTACGTGTAGGAGTACTCTATCATAAGCATTTAATTTATCTTCTTTTATATATATGGGATTGAGCTCAAATTCAATGCACTAATATTTCTTACAATCTCAAATTTGTAAAAAATAACTAAAAATATTTAAAAATAAAGAGGTGATGTCATGTTTTCTCTTTTTGGGATGTGTACGTGATCGGATTCGGACCCCAGACGATTCACTCAGAGAATGAAAGTGGTGATGTCATTATCTCTCTTTCGTTCTCATAAAATACTATATTCACTACAAAAAAATTGGGATTTACGTGTAATTTATAACATATAAATTTTTAAAATGCACGGAGATGTTTTTGTCAGTTCTTTAAACCTAAGTGAAATACATTGTATGGTTTGACAAGGTACAAGAATTACGTGATTAGGTCAAATGTTTCGGCGTATTGACATTAATTATGTGAATTTGCCGTTTTGGCAATTCGAAGTCTTGGTTTCTTATTTGGTTGGTAAGAGGGGCCGCCTTTGAACCAGCAAAGGTCGCGTGGTTGAGGCCAGGTCGCCGCCGCCCTGGGCATCCTCTTTTTCTTTTCTTTTTTGGCTTTTGAAAAATAAAAAATAAAAAAATTCAAATGTGTGTTCAAACGATCTGGATCACTGTCCATTTCTTGTGGAACTAGGCAAGTCTATCAAAATCTGAATTATTAGAAGTTCTAACTAGGAATTGGGCAGTCGCTACTGATTTCCATTATGGATTATCAATTTCTGATTTGGATCAGCGGTTATTATAACCACTCATGGGTGGTAATTTTATGCACATTAACTTTCATGAATTAGCAATAACAAATGTTAAAAAATGCAATCCCTCTTACTAATTGCCACCTTTCCGCTTTTACTTCCCATTTAAATGGAATGCAAACTTCTTTACAGCATGTTTCATTATGCAATTGTGTAACAAGGGGCACTTTTGGTGTTTGGTTATGAGAAAATGCTTTGGCACAAGTACATTGTACCAACTTTTAGATTTTGGGACATTGCCATTTTTGTGTCATAAAGCATTTTCTCTATGTTCCATTTAAGGACTCTTAATCTTTAAGAGATCATGAATATAAAAAAGTAAATAAATTTTAAAAACTAAAAATAATAATTCTAGTAAAAAAACATTTGGACCATTAGTTTTCATTGTTTTTAGGTGGAACACTTACTTGCATCCATTGTTAAGATAGATGCTTTATACTTTCTGGACCATTAGTTTCCATTGTTTTTAGATGGAATATTTACTTGCATCCATTTTTAAGATGGTTGCTTTGTACTTTCTGGACCGTATATGTAGAAATGTGGTCCAGCGGCGTGAAATAATTTTCCATAATATAAAACCGGGGAAACATAAGTAGTTCCCTTATTTGTTATTTTATGTTTGCTGGATTCTACATATAGGTCTAATGAAATCTAATACAAGAAATAGATAAGATATTCACCTCATCTTATTTGATTCTTGCTTTCCATCTTCTGGTCCCCTTGTCTCCCTAACAACAACTTTTTTTGTAACAACTAAAGGTAAGAAGCCCCACAAAAAACACCCAACAAATCAAAATTATTTATTTATTATATATCTTCTTCGCTATACGACAATACTAGATCCCTTCTGTTTCTTGGAGCCTCTACATCATTAAATACATGCTTATGATGAACTGAAATAATTTTCAATCCATACTTTTGAAAAATACATTACCCAAATTTGTTAGTGGACTTAGTAGGAATTGATTGAGGGCATGAATAGACGAAGAGAGAGATACTTGGAATTGATTGAGGTAGGGGTGGCAATAAAGATGACCAGACATGGGACCCCATGGATGGACCTAACTTCAGGTCCTGGTATGGGTTCAAATTTTGGACTCGAAAAGTCGGGTCTAAGTCTAAAACCTGGACCCAAGTACTATCGGGTCTGGGTCCTGGTCCGGGTCTGGGTCCGGTTGGACCTGGGCTCGGACCCATTGACACCCCTAGAGAGTGATAAAGAGAGAGAGTCAAATAGGTGAGGTATGAGTGTGACATGCTAACCTTCTTTGTAATTATCTTGGGCAGTGTATTTGTGGACATGACACCACATTTCCTTCCACTAATGGAACACTTGTACCTTCTCCCTTATCTTCTTCAATTAAATGTGGCCTCCGTGGGCTGTGTATCCAAGTCCCTTCCTTAAGGGAGCCACGTTTTCTTCATTCCTTTGATAAACAATTTGAAATGTGTCTCTCTTGTTGTTGATCAATTAATTATTTAGATTTTTGCACACTCAAATTCTCTTTTCCTCCTAACTATTTTGCACATGGCACTTCAATAAGGTAATTTTCTAGTAAAAATTTAACCCCAAGATATCATTAACCACATAAAAAATTATGGAGGCAGCAGGCTTTGGATTTTTCTTACATCTGACGTATGGGATTTGAGCCCAGACAAGAAGAGAGAGAGAGAGAGAGAAAGCGCAATATTTTGATTAGTGAGAGAAGTCAATATTTTGGTATGAGATGGAGAGATTTTGGGCAATAATGGGAATCGTGACTAGAATGATCATCGTCTATGACCATTAAATATTTTGGTACGAGAGACATTTTGGTTTGAGATTTAGATCGGGAATTGTCAATTTGGAATGGAAATAAGCTGGGATTCGAGAAAGTATCAGTATCAGATAGCTCCTTCTAAAGACCCCACCATTTTTTAAAATTTATCTAATGTTTTTTTGGGTTCATCTGAATTGCCCGTAAAGATCTATTTTTATTTTTTATTTTTAAGATTTACATGAACACCAGTTAGGTAAAATATTAAAAAATAAGAAATAAAAAAAATAGAAAGAGGGTTTTATAGGGGTCACTTACAAGGCGATTTAAGACTAAAGAAAATATTTAATAAGCTCTAAAAAATTTAAAAAATAAAATAAAAGGGAGTTTGTGGGGGGATTGGACATTCTTTCCCATAACCGGTTTGATCCCTGTTTATTCTCAATCTAGATTGGCGATTCTCGATTCCAATCATTGGGGTTTGACTCTAGAAACATCGCTGAAAAATAAAAATTTGGGAAATTTATTGATAAATTTTTATATATATATATATATATATATATAGTAGTGGTGGAGACGACGACACACGGAGGGTAGAGG